TTGGGGCAGTTTCTTTTAAAATGCCCAACTTCACCACAGTTGTAACAGGCTTGACCGACGCCTGTTCCAGAGGATTGATTGGTCGATTGAGCCGGAGCTTTGTAGAATCGGACCGTATGCCCCTTCTTACCACAGTTGGTACAGGAAAGTTCTCGACATGGACCAGGGTTGTGGTGATACTTGCACTTGTCACAGAGAGGGAGATTACCAACATACCGGCTGGTAGGAGTTGGAGTTGTGGATCCCGCGACAGAAGCAGCAGCAACAGGAGTAGTAGCAGCATGGACTGCTACTGTTTGCTGTCTTTTGGAGGATCCTTGAGAAGATTGATCCTTCTTCTTCTTCCAGAATTTTATTTTCTCACCACTGCTTTTAGCCGAATCAGGGGCAGTGGTGGCTTCCTCGACACCATCACTGTGGTCAATTATGGCTTGGGCTAAAGTCTTAGCACTATCATATGTGTCCGCGCGAGCAGCTAAGACATGACTTTTTGTTGGATTGGTTAACCCCCGAATAAACCTCTCGATCTTTTTGCTTTAAGGAGTGACCAAACCAGGACAGAGAAGGGCAAGATCATCAAATCGGGAAGTGTATGCAGCAATGTCGGAACCTTTCATCTTCAGGTTCCAGAGCTCGTGCTCTAGCTTTTGCATTTCACCACGAGGACAGTATTCGGCAAGGAGGAGTTCTTTCATGGTGTTCCAGCCCATGGCATTAGCTACAGGTAGGGTCAAGGATTTGACTCGGCTATTCCACCAAGTCAAGGCTTTATTACTAAAGGTACAGGCTGCAAATTTGACCTTATCGGACTCAGCACAGGCACAGATTTCGAAAATGGATTCGATTTTCTCGAACCATCGGGATAAGGAAATAACACCTCCAGTGCCATCAAAGGATGTTGGTTTTGCATTCATGAAGTCCTTATAGGAACTTCGATGTCCCTGATTGCCTTCTTGATCTTGAGTACCACCTCCTGAACCACCGGAACCACCGTTGTTCAATTGGGACATGGCAGCTGCCACCGCGGCGGTAACAGCTGTCTGAAATAACACGTGATCAATTTCAGGAGGAGGTGTGGCGGAGGGTTGTTGGTCTTTGAGCTGGGTCTCTTTCTGGGAGGCATCTTGATCTAATAATGATCAAGAAATAGAGGATGATAAGTTCTCTGAATTGAATTGAGAGATATGATAGATATTTATTCCAATTAAGCGATAAAACAGGAAAGAGTTATTGAAGCAGGTAAAGTATCGCTAACGGAATGATCGGGGGTCCATACGTGAACGAGGATTCTACAAAGAATTGATTCGAGAAATACTCCCATAGTATTTCATGATTCGCTACAACACAAGCTCGATCTTTGTGGTGTTTAGGGTAAGTTTTAGGCATGCTGCATACCACAGTCACTCCCAAGCACATGTTGGCCGTGTCTAGAATGAATATTTGGCCAGGCTATATTGATCCTAGACACGACTACATAACTGCTCAGGTTTAACGGCAGTACACAACACCCATTTACTTATGTTTGGTTCTACCTATAGTCACGGATCTCGACGATTCGGTATACTTATATACTTTTGAAAATACCTATAGTTTGAACGTACTTTTATTTCAGAGCACTTTGGCCCTTTAGTGTTTATAGTTCTATCCCATGTAAGGTTTGGTATACTTCATTCACTATAAACAAGGGCTCTGATACCAATCTGTCACACCCCAAAAACCGAAGGCGGAAACATTTCCGGGGTTGACTCCACGTTGAGTATCAATTCCAATGTACATAGTAAGTAAAGTAGAACAACCATTACATTACATATAAACGTTTTACAGTTGTTTTCAAAAGTAAAGTTGTACAGTTGTGATACATAGTATATATATATGAACAAAATGAAATGGGTCTTCTGAGCACTTCAACTTCGAGCAAAAAGGATCTTCGGTACCTGTTCTAACGTTGACCTGAGAACACAAGCGGTTTTGAAAATCAGCATAATGCTGGTGAGTTCATAAGTAGTATTGTTTTGTGAAAATGTCCATGTTTCCATTCTGTTTTTGAAAAGGTTATACACCAAGAAAATCCCACATTTTCTTAAAAGTTGGTTGTTGTTTCACAAAAGTAAAGTAAAGTTTGGTTGTCCAATTCGTTAAACTATTCTGTTTACGTACCAGTGTATTCCCTGGAAAGTCCCCATACTTTCCTGTATGTTGGTTTTCCCAGGAAGGTCCCATACCTTCTTGAATGTTAGTTATCATTGTAAAAGATGTATTCGTGTTATGTTCAATGTTTTTTCCCCAAGAAAGTCCCATATTTTCCTGATTGTTGGTTACCTTATGTAAAAGATGGAAAGATGTAAACCGAAACCTGGTTATCTGTAAAATGTAATAAGTGATTCATTATTACTATAAGTAAATCTCTGTTATCCTAATTGCGAGTTCCATAACCATACTAGAGACTGAACCTGTGGCGATAAGTAGTCCACGACCTTATGACTTTCGTCACCCTTGAACCATTTCGGTTCGGCTGTAGCTAGCAGCCAGCTGTGGGGTAGTCAACCCCGTATAGATCTATACACTCAAGTCACGCTCTCTAAATCCCAGAGATTCTGGTTACGGGTGTAGTCCTCCACTCGCGTATCTCTGTGGAGTGTTCGCCGAGGACGTGTCTCCAATCATACAGGAATAACAAACTTACTAGTAATAATATGATAATCCTCCATTCGCGTATCTATGTGGAATGTTACCGAGTACAATACGGCGTACACATTATATTATTCATGTGTTCTAAAGTCATGCTTTTAACTGATAAAATGTGGAAAAAAATATTTGTGAAATATATAAAACATAACAGTTTATAAAACCTATTTCACAAATAAATGTTACGTGATCTGCATGTCTTACTGGTTATTAGTTGTGTATATCAGTATTAAAAAGCATATGAAATGTGAAACACACACATGAAAATAAGTTTTGAGTACAAGAAAACCCTTGTACTTTGCCTGTGTTCCCCCCCCCCCTTGAAAACAATGAAAAACAATGAAAAAGAGTAGGGGTATGAACTCACCAGACTCAGAATCGCAACTGTTTCAGATACTAAGCGTGGGTTCGGGGCTTGATTACTCGCGATGTCCCTATGTAAAATGTAATAATGTCCATATATAACTAATTAGATTTACAATTACTAGTTATATGGAACATTACACTCCAACGAGGTTAAACACCTCAATACGAGCGTTTGGAGCGACCCGGGTGACATCTTCGGACGTAATACGGCTCTAGGGACTTGGGATTTGAGTTTACTCTCCAAAACTAAACATATAAAGGAGTTTACAGCCACAAAACACACACACACACACATGAGTTTACGGCCGTAAACTCATGTTGGTGTGATTTTGAGACTTTAATGGCTTGAATGGACTTAGGGATTGTTGGAATGGACTTCTAGAATGCCTTGGATTAATTTGTTTGGATTTATAACATTTAAAAAGGGAGTTTAAGGCTGTAAAGTTAGAGTTTACGGCCGTAAACTCACCCATGGTCAAGAAAAATTTGTTTAAGGCACAAGGAGCAGTCACATGTCATTCTAACTAATTTTCTAAGGCTTGGTATCAATTTTTGGCTTCAATTAACACCTTTATATGGTTTTACGTCCCAGACACATACTCTCTGGCCGTAAACTCTAATATGGTTAAGGAAAATTAGTTTTTGATGCTTAAAACACTCATATGTAATTCTAGGAATTTTTCCAAGCCTTAAAGGTGCATTTGGGGCATTTTTAGCATGATTATATGAGTTTACGGTCAAAGGCTATGTGCTTAGGCTGTAAACTCCAATATGTAAGGCATTTGATGTGTTTAAGGTCTCCAAACCATTTTTAGGTTATTCTAGGATTTACCACAAGGCTATTGGTTAAGTTACAAGGCATTTGGACATGTTTAAAGGCTCTTAATCCCCATTTTAGAGGAGTTTACGGCCCAAGAAGGAGCCTTGGCCGTAAACTCTCTTTTGTCCCATATAATTCATGATTTAGATGTTTTAAGTCCCAATTAATAAGTCTTAAGGTCGTATCTAAGTCCCATATATGATTTGGAAGGGTTACATGGCTCAAAAACCCTCATTTTTAGGTGTTTACGGCCCAAGCTTGATCCTTGGCTGTAAAATCATGTTCTAGGTCCTAAAACATAGATTATACTCACATTTGAAGGCTAAAGAGGTTGTATAGCATGCTAGGGAAGTTACCTCAAAGATTTGAATCCTTAAACTTGAGATTTGGACCTTTAATTCTAGTTTGAGGAGAGAGGTTGGAAATGTTTATGTAAGAAATGGCCAAAAGCTTCAAATGGAAGCTTTGAATCACTTATATAGTGCTCGGGAATTGGACACGGTGGAATTCTACTCGATACCGGCGTTAAGTGGGGCTTTTGGTCGTACCCGACCAAATTGTCGTGTCCCGATATGGTCGATTCTAGAATTATTCCGATAGTTATACTGGGGTGTTAAAATGATTTCTAATGGCATTAAGACACCCATTAAGTCATTTTAGAATAATATAAGTTAATGACTTAATAAAATGGGGAAATCGGAAACGAATTTGGAAACGACGTTTGGTTGATCAAATTGGATTACAAGTTGCGTTACAAGAAGTGATATGAAATTTCGGGTTGTTACATTCCAGCAAGCAATTTTTCTAGTTTATAAAAAAAATCAATTTATACAAGAATTAAAAAAAAAAAAAAAAAACTCTTCAGATCGCTACGTCGCTATAAACCCCATAGCGACACATCGTCGCCTGGCCTTGCTAATCGCTATGATCGCTATTGATAACACTGCTTGGACCTCTAATTCGAATCAGTAAAAGCAAGGAAGAACCCAAACTTCTCATGAAAACCTATTTTCAATTCCACTTCATCCATTCTATCAATTTGTGAGCAAATAAATTCAAAAACTAAGGAAACTAGAACAGCTGGACCTCTAATTTATGGAATCAATTAATGTTCCTCAATAGAGAAACATCATTCAGCAGAAAATGTATAAAAGAAAAGGGAGAATGGAGAATAAATACCATCATCCAACCTTTTCACCAACTCAGCATGCGTCTCCCCTAATGAAACTTTTTGTTCCTCTATTGTCATTTTTGCTTGTGGACACTCAGAAATAACCTGTAGCAAGAATTCAGATAATTGTATAAAGATAATAAAACTTGTCACATTCAAGTCAATGTTGCATCAAAAACTTGTTTAAGTTTGTAGATTGGCATACCTCCCCATACATGCTTTAAATGAAGAGACAACATGCTTCTCAGTTTCTCCCAACCATAATTGTAGTGTTCGCATATGTGAAATTAATAATACTAATCATAAAATTCATAAAGATACAAATGTTGTTGACTTTGAGAATTGAGATATAAGGATTAGGTTGATAACAAAATTTGTAGCATACCAGAACTTTCCAGTGGCTGCAATGAATTTTAATATGCTCCTTATTTACTCTCCCTCTTCAGCAGTCTCTTGCCTCATTTCTATAACCCTGGGGTTTAAAATTCTAAGGCTTATAAGTTGTTTACCACAGTTATAATGTTATCATAAAAAAAGTAATAAAACACTCACTGATGAAGATTTAAATTTAAAACATACTATTAAATAAACAGAAACAAAAAATATTTACCGAATTCTTCTATCATCCATTCTACTATCAAGATTTTCCCAAATTTCATCAGTGATTTGGAGATTTAAATTCTCTTCTGAATTTTTTAGATACCTACACTCTTCTTTCACAAACCTACAAAAACATTATAGATATATATATATATATATATATATATATATATATATATATATATATATTATACCTTTTATTGTTATTAAAAATTGATTTGCTATCATGTAGTCCAAGAAAGCTCAACTAAATCATGGTCATCTATCTATAAATAAGTGCAACTGAATCATGGTCATCCTTGAAAGCTCACAATCCAAGGATAAAATGTTAAATAAATGGAAATATGTAAAGTGATAAATATGTAATTTTGTTAGAGGAGATTGTGTAGTTTACCTTGAAGGGTAGTAGACTATAACATCTTGCATACCGAAAACAAAAAAATTACATGAAATGTCTCAGATTATAAAATATATATAAAAAATAATAAATGGAAAAATGTACCAGTCATCTAATATTTCTGTAATAGGCTCCTCATAAGCTGAATGCTAATAAAGGTGAAATGAAAAGAAATATATAAATATATAATGTTAGTTTTATATAAAAGGATTGAAAAGTTATAAGTGGTTTAATAATTCAGCATGTTGGTTATTTATCAACTATGTGTGCATAAACAGGGGTAAAAAGGTCATTTGATCATGAAAAGAGAATGGGAATGACGTACACCTTTAGGTCGTGATTTTCTTGAAGGTGGGTTGTGAGTGTGAGGAGCACGTGACACCCTACCTTTGCATTCCTCCTGTCAAAATGATCAAACTCATGTCTTGCAGCATCTACACAGATTTCAACAGCCTCAGGCAACGATGTTTTTATCAGCCTCAAATTTTCATCAACCTGGAATGGAATAAATTGATATTGGAAGTTAGAAGGAAAGAAAGAAATGTAAAGTCTAATTCAAAGATCAAAGTGACACCCTACCTTTGCATTCCTCCTGTCAAAATGATCCAAAGCATCATACAATAAAGTTGTTGGTTCAGTGCTCCGAATCTTAAAGATAGATTTGGTAGAAGTTGGGACCCATTGAAGAAACTCCATGTTTAAGTTAGACAATATCCTATCTCCATCACACTCTGGGATAAGGATAATGGGTTCATCATAAAGATAGCAAACTGGATCTCCATAAGGGCCCACCATCAGAAGCATATCATCCTAATACAACAATACACTGTCCATTCCACACCAAACAAGTTGCTCTGGAGCTAGCGTAGACTATAAATAACAAGATGTTAATGGCATCACATACATAATACAAGAAAAATATGGTTTTTTGTATCAACAATAGTGTCATAAAACCAACCTCACAACTGTACTCAAAGATGATGGTTGAGAAGTCAGTGGGCATCACAAGAAGCTGACCATCATGAGTAAATGATGCCATTAACTTGCCATTATTTGAGATAACCATCTTCTGCAGAGTTCCTAATCTATCACCAACAGTTTGAACTCCATTTTCTTCTACCAACAACACATGATCACCAACTCCGAGCAACACCTTTACATTCCCAAACATGGTATACTGGGGCTCAATCACCGCCATACAAAGGGATACTCTTGAGTTTTAAGCAATGATAAACCATTAAACGTTGTAGAACTGGTAAGTTATCCCTCCAACATACCCATTCCCTTAGTTGTAACAACTGCAGTTTCAATACCTTGAGTCGCATAAAATCTACATCGCCTCTTCTTATCCATCCAATGAAGTGAACATAAATTAAAACCCCAAAGCTTCCCCTGCTATTGAAAAGAGCAAAAGAATTGATAATTTCAGGAAAAATAACCACAGATGTGAATCACTTGTGATGTAGAAGCACACCTTGATCCATGTCTTCGCCTCTTCTTATCCATCCAATGGATTCTCTTGAAGCTTCAATTTCACAGGCGATCGGGAACCATCATCATCAAATAATGATAACATGGACATATCGAGGTTTTAAATAGAGCTAATCGGGAACCATCGAAGCTTCGTATGTGAGGTTTAACAGAAGATGTCGGTTTATTGTTGATGATGTTTTGGATTTCTCTAGGGTTTTTTTGAGCTAATCGGATGAATTAAACCCCTGAACCATATTTGAGCTAATCGGAAGAAGAGCAAACCATTTCTCCTCTATAGCTTCATTCCTAGATTTAGGTTTCATGGTAGGCTGGGCTGCTTTCTGTTTCTTTAGCATCAAGCTCTGATTGTACATAACCCATAGTCTGACCTGATATTAGGGCTTTTAGACTCCAAAAAGTTATTGTTGGAAATAATAAGATTAACCCTCGATATGATATTTTTCCTTTAATCAGGGTGGTTTATCCCTAATATAAGGAGAGTTTTTAGGGTTTGGTGGTGGCAATGGAATGCCTTAGGGTTTGTAGAGAGAAGGGGGAGAGAATGAAAGGAGATCTACACAAGAGAGAGGAAAGCGGGGTACTTCAAAATTTTAGAAATTTTAAGGATTTCATTTCCCCATTTAAAAACGCGTGTTTAATTAAAAAATTGTAAAGCGTCATTTGCAGAGGGCACACATTTAAGATAAGCACCCTCCGTCATTGTAATTTATTTTTTATTGGACACTAATTTTAGGGTAAGCAAAAATGCGCGTCCTAAATTCTTCAAATTTTTAAAGATCTGACATTATTTTTAGGGCACGCCCTGTTGCGTATCATTAATCAGTGCGTGTCGTAAAAAGTGTGTCATTAAAGGGCTATTTTCTAGTAGTGTATCTTGTAAAGCCATTCAATTCAATCAAAGTCAAATTTGTTTCTGCTATCTTTTTGCATTATTAAGGGTTTGTTTGAGTGTTCTAAGCCTAGTACATTCAAGGATTGAGTGTTAAGAAGTATCTGCTAGAGTTCATTGTGCAACATTCAATCCGGAAAACTCTAACACTTGGAGTTACGGACGTAAACTAGAGCTTACGGCCGTAAGCTCTAGTCTAGACGTGAACTCCTTCCATAAGGATGATAATGCTTCATTTTTCTTGACTTATCACACTTCCAACTCAAGAACACTCATATCTCTCTCAAGTATCATCAAGAACACTTGTATTTCTCGTCAAATTTGTAAGTAATTCTTCCTATATTAGTTGATATCCTTCTTAATCTAGTAAAACCCCATGATTTCATCCACAAATTCATCTCTTTTTGGGGTTAGATCTTCAAGAACACCAAGAACACACACTAGTTCTTTGGGACATAATCACATCTTCAACCTTCAAAATGTAAGTATCCTTTCTATATACTAGTTATCCATTAGAAGCTCTTGAAACACGTTCGAGAATTGACCATTTTAGATTGAGCATCAGGAGTTTACGGCCATAACATCTCCCTTGGCCGTAAACCCTTCTCATGATCTTCATGGGCCGTAAATGGCTGTGGACATCAAGGCCGTAAACATCAATGGCCATGAACACATGGCCGTAAACACACCATTGTGTGGCCATAAACTCCCTTAAATCAATCATGTGTGATTGATAAACTCCATTATGAGTGATTCCTAGTCCTTAGCGGTGTTTCCAATACATCATTAGTTGTTATACACTAATTGTATGCTTATATATGTGATTATATGTCTAATAGGATCAATTTATGCTTCGTGACTCCTTTTGTGAGCTTAAGCACCCTATATATATATATATATATATATATATATATATATATATATATATGTATATATATATATATATATATATTCCATTTGAGTCACTCACTATAGGTGAGTTCATACCCATAAACTTATCTTTTAAATGTATAGTTATAGTAGCAATCACATGTGATTTATAACTATAAAACAAGAGGATTTCTTATACTTCAAAACTATGTGATCAAACAAACTATTTCAAATCAGTTTATAAACTTCTTTTATATCCAATCATATATGTCTATCTATTTACGTATAAGTATGATTTAATGGACTTAGGACTATTGCTAGATACCTTGACTCCTATTTGTAAGGGTCGAAGAACTGTTGTAATATGTCGAAGACTTAAGTTTATTTTAAAAGGCATTTTTGTAACAAAGTATACTGTTTTAGTCCTTGTAATTTTTTGTATGCTTTCATGTTTCCTCTAAATAGGGACATTACTTAGAGTTAGATAAGAGGATTTATATGAACTTGTCTATTTTCTCTCTATAACATTTGAAAGCATAATAGAGCTGAAACCAAATCATATTTACATCTCGTGTTAAAACTACATTTTGATTAGTCTGATTTGTTACATTCTGATTTGTGTGATCATGTTTCCTCAGTGTTGCAGTGTTGGATTGGACAAAGGTAGAATGGAGTTTTATGCGACGGTAGCTGGATTGTACTATGATATCTCTGTGGATTACTCTACACAGTTGTGGAAGGAATTTCAGAAGAGTGTTGAAAACACAAATTGTGACAACCCGATATTTCGAGGCAATATGATGGAACGCAAGTCAAATTTAGGTCAAAATTTAACTTTCCTAAAAACTTATTTGGGTTAAATAAAGTAGTAGGAATCGTATCAAGGTTTTCATACATATAAAGAACCCTAAAATCCGAGTTATAACGAAGAAGTTATGACCAACCGAAGATTCTCGGCAAAACCGAAAACACCGATAGATGTAAAACACGAAGTTTCAATACAATAATTTTTAGCCTTAGGTATCTAAATGAAAGTTTTAGATATCCCAAAACCGTAAGCATAAATAAAAAGAATCCCAAATCTGACTTCATATGAGGAAGTTATGATTTTTCGAAGTTTCAGACATAGTAGTAGACAGCTAAAAACTCGAAATTGAGATCGAGCGGAATTTTGCCAACATGACCTAAACGAGAATCGAAGATCTCATCAATGGTATTACAACGGTAAAAAGTCTGGCGAAAACGAACGTCAGATGAAGAAGTTATGGAACTTTAACGGACTTTTCGATCCCGACCTATTAAAAATATAATATTAAAAATAAAGTCAAAATTTGCCGACGAAGTCTAAACGAAAGTTGTAGATCGTAGTCTCACCTACGCGTGGATATAGAGAACGTCGAAAACGGAGTTCGTATGAGGAAGATATGATTTTTTTGAAATTTACTAATTAATTAAAATATAAATTTAATTAAAATCCGATATTGTCCGAAGAAGGAGTCATCGGACCAATCCAAGTTACGCCCAACATACCCTCATACGCCCAACGTACTCGGGTGCTCGGCCTTAATCCATCCACGTCGCTCCGATGCTTCGACCGAGGATGCGCTCATGCATGACGCATGAGTACGCCCCGCGTACCCTCGTACGCCCAACGTACCGAGGTCTTTCAGCCCCTATAAAAGGGATGCGAGGGTGCCGGCCAATTTTGCTCATTTCCTTCCTTTCTCACGCCGAAGCTCTGTGTTTCAACCCTCTGATCCATCCCAAAGTTCCGGTTTTCATATCCAAGTTTGGAAGGAAGTTTTACGCTCCTTAGATTCCCGAGAATCTCGAGAGATCCGCTTTCTCGAGTAGAAGTTCTGCTCAGTTTTCGTCACGCTTTCTTCAATCAATCAAGTGAGTTCATACCCTTACAATCCGCACTTTTAAATGTTTTATAAATGCTTTTATATGCTTTTAAGGGGGGAATACAAGTAAAACACACGATTATTATCGAGTGTTATATAAAGTTTCATTATACACTTTTTATCAACGGAATCGTATGTGATTTATAACTAGTATAGGGAAACTTTCGTATGCAAAATATATCACGATATCATCATATCTTTTGAAATGAAAAATGTTGTTATATATGTATAAGTCAAACACTCTGTTTATACTGTATGTATATGCGTTCATCTTAGGCACTACAAAAATCATACTTTTCATAACAAGTGAGCATTTCACTAGGGATTACTATACAAAAGAGACACACTTTTAGAAAACTCTAATAGGTATAGTTTTACGAGAACATCACGAAATTTTACATACTAGAAATACTATTTCAAGGAGATACATTCATATACAAGAACAAACGAACAATTTCATAGGTACTTCAAACATTTTTCACAAACGTTTTTACATGTTGAAACACTTTTAGAAACTGTCTTACAAACTGTAGGTTTCCTTTTTGAATCTGTTATAGTTGTGCTTCAAACAAAGGTTTTCGCACACTTAAACTGTCTTGTCAAACGGTTTTCGAATCGATTTATAAACTGACGTCAAGTCATAAATTCTTATTTATTAAACTTTTCAACGGTTTTACAAAACTTCCTTTATGCTTTTATATTATAAATTGCATGCCTCTATGTGTATAGTTGTATAAGAAATGTTTAAAAGACTTAGGAAGGCTATCCACCCTGTTTCCTTTTCCTCGATTTGGATGTGGTCTGGTGGGATATCAGGTACTCTTCCGAAGGTCGTTTAAATATTAGTTATATATCATGTGTACATATATAGTCATAAATGTTCCATCAGTTAATTCAGTTCCGACACTCTTGGGTAGCAAGGGTGTACAGACTTAGTTGGACACTCATCAATTACATTCTAGTAAACTATTATAGGAATAGTTTAGGGGATACAAAACATGATCACTATTACAAGAAATTACACCAGTGTCAGTTCATTCATGAGTCTAAACTGCATGCTATATGAAGGGATACTCTTATAGAGATTCTTCTTACATGGGTACACTTATATGGATACTCTTGTAGAGATTCCTCTTACATGGATACACTTATAGGGATATTGTTACATAGATACAATGTGGTAAGAAAAAATAAGGGACTAAACATTCCTAGACCCGGTTGTTAGCAACAGAGGTAAATGGACATCTACAGATGTCTACGGTTAGTACTTATACTAGGAAGACATTTAAGGAACTAACCATTCCTTCCACCTGCTGTTAGCTACAGAGGAAAATAAACATCTACGGATATTCACAGTGAGAACGTTTCGGCAGTCGCGATGTCGTGTTTATCCTAATACCAAAGGATAATACTTATATGGCTATATTTTCCCTATTACTTTTATTTTTTGATACATTCACGTAAACGATGAAGTAGACTATATATATTGTTAATAGTAGTCATAAAGGGGAAAACCATCTTTGTTACAACAAAACATACAAGTCTTGGTAGAAGACTACTTTCAAAACCGTCAAGTCTTGGTTAAAGACTACTTTGAAAACAGTCAAGTCTTGGTTAAAGACTACTTTCAAAAAATTCAGGTCTTGGTAGAAGACTACTTGTTATACTAGTAGAGAATATG